GATCTCCTTGCAGTCCAAGGGACTCTCAAGAGTGTTCTCCAACACCACAGTTCAAAAGCATCAATTCTTCCGCGCTCAGCTTTCTTTATAGTCCAACTCTCACATCCGTACATGACTACTGGAAAAAACATAGCATTGACTAGACAGATCTTTGTTGGCAAAGTAATGTCTCCACTTTTTAATATGCTATCTATGTTGGTCGTAACTTTTCTTCCAAGGAGTAGGCGTCTTTTAATTTCATGGCTGCAATCACCATCTGCAGTCATTTTTGAGCCCCCCAAAATAAAGTCTGTCACTGTTTCCACTGTTTCCCCATCTATTTGCCATGAAGTGATGGGACCAGATGCCATGATCTTAGTTTTCTGAATGTTGAGCCTTAAGCCAACTTTTTCACTCTCCTCTTTTATTTCATCAAGAGGTTCTTTAATTCTTCTTTGCTTTCTGCCATAAGGGTGGTGTCATCTGCTTTTCTGAGGTTATTGATATTTCTCCCATCAATCTTGATTCCAGCTTGTGCTTCATCCAGCCTAGCATTTCTCATGATGTACTCTGCATATAAGCTAAAGAAGCAGGGTGAAAATATAGAGCCTGGATGTACTCCTTTCCCTATTTGGAACAAGTTTGTTGTTCCATGTCCAGGTCTAACTGTTGCTTCCAGGCCTGCATACAGATTTCTAAGAGGCAGGTCAGGTGGTCTGGCATTCCCATCTCCTGAAAATTTTCCACAGTTTGTTGTGGTCTACACGGTCAACGTCTTTGGCGTAGTCAATAAAGCAGAAGTAGCTGTTTTTCTGGAACTCTCTTGCTTTTTCGATGATCCAGTGGATGTTGACAATTTGATCTCTGGTTCTTCTGCCTTTTCTACATCCAGCTTGAACCTCTGGAAGTTCACAGTTCACATGCTCTTGAAGCCTGGCGTGGAGAATTTTGAGCACTACTTTACTAGCGTAGCATTAAGTGCATTCAAATTTGGGCGGCCATCAGCACCATTCTAGTACTTCATCTTAAACTGAAACTCTGCCCCCACTATCATCGATTCCCTACTCACTCCCCCTACCCCAGCCCCTGACACCCATGCTCTGCATCCTATCTCTATGAGGGTGATGCTCCAGGCATCTCATATAAACTGGAATCACACCGTGTTTGTTCTTTTCAGATCGCCTGATTTCATTTTGCATAACGTCCTAAGGTTCGGTCATGCTTTAGAAAAGCAAAACTGATTTGACCTCCGTAACTTGCTCTGCCCCTGCAGTGAGACACAGGGCACAGATCCTCTGGTGAATGAAGGTGCCCCCTGACTGGCATTGTTGTACTCGGGCACAAGATGGAGAGGCTGGGGGAGGCAGCACCTTCCCGGGGGTGGCACCGGGAGGCTGTGCCCTGTCCAGCGCCTGGCCAATGTCCCGACTAGGTTGCTGAAGGGCAGGGTGGGGCCAGCGTCTCTCAGGGTGCCCCTGACACTGATACTTCCTCAGCAGGGGAAGGGTGTTCTGTGTGGCCCCAGGGTCTGGGAGCAGGGCTCAGTCTTGGGGTCTTTGGGGCTCACTCACAACAAGGTCCTCCCTGCCCCTTGTCATGGTCATAGGACATCTGCCTCAAACTGGCCTTCATGAAGAGCGTGGTGCAGGTCACCGATGCCATCAAGAACATCAAGGACCTGGAGGACTTCCAATTTGCCGCAAAGGTGACCCTGACTGGCATTGTCATGGTAAGCTGTCTGGGGGAATCCCTCCATCCTGGGCAGTTCGGGGGTCTCACTCTGCTGACCAGAGGCCATCTGAGGCCCAAGGGGTGGCAGGGGTCTCCGAGTCCCCGCCTGTCTCAGTGCTGCTTTGACCTGACTGTTGGTGTTCTGAGTGTGACGTTCTCATATCTGATAAAGGTTTTCATGGCCAGGAAACATTCTAGAAGCCTGGGCTGAAGACTCTGCCCCCGAGCCCAGTGATGCCCGGAAGGTGTCTGGTTCTGGGCTGGGAGACAGAGTCCCACGGTCAGCCCCTGGCTAGCCCCAGCGTTTCTCCCTAGTCAGGACCAGGAGGTCGGGCTCTGCCGTGGACAGGACTTAGAGCTACTTTTGCCCAGAACTTTGTTAAGATCTAGAAAGTACCAGCTGTGCAAAGGCAAGAGGCAGCGGCAGGGGCTCCTGCGGCTGTGGGTCAGCACCTGTCCCTCGTCCCCAGACCTCTCCACTCGCCTGCGATGGAAACCCTGGCCCCTGGACACCCTCTGGCTGCCCAGGCAGCACCCTGGAGGGAAGGGAGATGTGGATGGTCAGGAGGCCCTTAGAAAGAAGCAGACACTCACTAGGCTCCCGCTCGGGGTCGGGAGACACGCATGTAATTTCACAGCACCCTGGAGGGAAGGGAGATGCGGATGGTCAGGAGGCCCTGAGAAAGAAGCAGACACTCACTAGGCTCCCACTCGGGGTCGGGCCACACGCATGTAATTTCACAGCAGCCTGGAGGGAAGGGAGATGCGGACGGTCAGGAGGCCCTGAGAAAGCAGCAGACACTCACTAGGCTCCCACGTGGGGTCGGGAGACACGCATGTAATTTCACAGCAGCCTGGAGGGAAGGGAGATGCGGACGGTCAGGAGGCCCTGAGAAAGAAGCAGACACTCACTAGGCTCCCGCTCGGGGTCAGGAGACACGCATGTAATTTCACAGCAGCCTGGAGGGAAGGGAGATGCGGATGGTCAGGAGGCCCTGAGAAAGAAGCAGATATTCACCAGGCTCCCGCTCGGGGTCGGGCCACAGGCAGGTAATTTCACAGCAGCTGGGCACAGCTCTGTGAGCCAGGCCCCGAGTCCTCATTTCACACCTGAGCAAGGGCTCAGGCTGAGGAAGCGATTTGCCCAAGGACACACAGCCAGTAAGTGGCAGAGATGAGCGGGACGCACCTGCCCATCTTAGCCCCACTCCTCCCATGAGATTTGCTGCTTCCCCTGGGCTTCCGTCGTGGCTCAGCTGGTAACGAATCTGCTTGCAATGTAGGAGACCTGAGTTCTATCTCTGGGTTGGGAAGATCCCCTGGTGAAGGGAAAGGCTACCCACTCCAGTATTCTGGCCTGGAGAATTTCATGGACTGTATAGTCCATGGAGTTGCAAAGTTGGACATGACTGAGCAGCTTCACCTAAAACGTCAAAGGCCAACTGACCATGAAAAGAATGAAAACGCCTGTGTTATCGGATCCCGTCGTACATTGTCAGGTCCTCCTGCCTGTAACACAGGGCGCCATCTGTCCCCCAAGCCCCTGCCCTGCCTGTGGCGCGACTCTGGGTGGCTGGCGGCTCACTGCCCTGCTGTCCTGGCAGGCGATCATCAAGGCAGAACCGACGGGCAGCCTGGTTTCTCCCGTGTGGACCATGGCCATGGATGCCCTGTCATACTTGAGGTGAGCCGGGCCCCTGGCCAGGCCCCCAGCGCCGCCCTGGGCTGCACACAAATTCTGAGACCACCTCTCGGTGCCTTTGGGGGAAGGTCACACCTCCTTTGGGGCTTCCCTGGAGGCTCCGGCCTTAAAGAATTTGTTTGCAATGCAGAAGACTCAGGATCTATCCCTTGGTCGGGAAGACGCCCTGGAGATGGGAATGGCAATGCAATCCAGATTCTTGCCTACAGAACCCCATGGACAAGCTATAGTCCATGGGGTCAAAAAGAGTCAGATTCGAACACTTTCACTTTAAACAAAATGACTGGATTTGGGTAGGAGTGGGAGGGCCCGGAAAGGTGAAATACAGGACCCCTTTGGAGGGCAGGAGTTTAGAGTTTAAGTGGAGGGTGGCTCTCCCTTCTGAAGGCAAAATAGAGCCAATGAGGAGCTTGTAACAATCCTGCAACCCTGCCCCACCAAAGACTTCAACAAGGATCCCTGGACCTGGGCATGGGCCCTGGGGCCCTTAGAAAGCTCTCCTGTGACTCTAATATGCAACTAGGCTTGAGATCCACCTATGAAGGGAACAGAAGAGAATCAGCTGGTGTGCATCACGCAGCTAGCTACTACCACCAAAGGTTTATTAAAACACAGATGGCCTCCATTCCAGACGTTTTTTGTTTTTTTCTAAGATTTTTTTTTATGTGGACCATTTTTTAAAAAGTCTTTATTGAAGTTGTGTTACAGTATTGCTTTGGTTTCATGTTTTGGCTTTTTGGCCATGAGACATGTGGGATCAACCCTGCCCCCCTGGCACAGCACGGCAAAGCCTTAACCACTGGACCACCAGGGGAGTCCTCCACTGGAGTTTGTGATTCAGCAGCTCTGAGGTGGAGACACAGAATTTGCATTTTCTAATAAACTCCAAGGGGATGCTGCTGCTGCTCCTGGGCCAGGTATTACAGTTGAAAATTCCTGGGCCAGGACCACCCAGAAGCAGAGTCTGTGGCCGCAGTCAGGGAGGACCAGTGGAATGTTTCTGAACAGCAGAGAGAGAGACTCAGAGCAGACAGTGATAGGAGAGGTGGCTGTGGACGCCTGCGTCTCCCCTTCCGTCACAGACAGACAGTGGACTGGAGCCCTGCTGCGGGGAGCCAGGGCCCTTGGGGAGGGACAGATGCCTGAACCCCCAAACAGAGAAGCTGGCCCCTCCCTCATTCTGTGATGTGGCTCCTCCCACCGCCCCCCAGACTGGGCAGAGCAGGGTCTCAGTTCCCCACTGATCACTCCTCTTGTCACTTCTTTCTCTAGCAAACTGAAACCTTTCTACTCCACAGAGGAATGCAGTGAGCTGATGGATATTAGTATACACTCTGTAATTTCTCTCCAGCCCCCAGGAGACAGCAATGCGTCCATTAAGGTAGGTCCCTCTGCGCCACCTCATTTTCTGGGTGAGGACTTGGAAGTTGACGTTCACATGGGCAGTGCTGGGAGGCCACCGTTCTGGACCTGGGAGTGGTCAGGGCAGCAAAGTACAGCAGGCTCTTTCAGTAAGTGTAAGGTGATGCTGGCTGCTGCAACAGATACACGCTGAAATCTTCATGGTTTAACAAGATGACCGTTTTTCTCACTCGAAGTCCAGCTGGCAGCAGAGGTGGAGAGGGGGCTGCTTCCTGCAGCTGATCAGGGCCGTGGGCTGACAGGTGAGGACTCGCTCAGATCTCATTCCTTGCCATGGACTCCGCTGGGGACGACACTGCAGGTGGGGCTGAGGTGAGAGGAATGAGGAAGCTGGTGACTGGAGGGGAATGCCCCCCAGCTCCAACAAAGCAGGTTTTTGAGGGGAAAACAAGACAGAACAAAACACTACAGCCCTCAGGTCTGGACCAGCCAGCCGTCTCCCCTCCCAGGGCGAGGTGGGCAGCCTCAGGCCTACCTGGCCTCATGGGGGCTGTCCCCGGAGTCCCCTCCCTGTCTGAACAGCCCTGCCTCTGGGAACCAACCTTCTCCAGGGAGGGGCTATCGAAGCTCTCCATCTGGTTCTTCAGCTCTTTGCTCAGACACAGGCACCAGCGGGAACCCCGAGTCTTCTTGAGGGAGTTTCTCAGAAACTGGGGGTGGGGGGAAGAAGGCACAGGTGGGCAGTGCTCCAGAGGGCTGTGCTCCTCGAGCCGTGACTCTCCCTCTCCAGCGCCTTCCCCGGTCTCTGGAGGGCTTCGCCCTTTCAGCCCTGACCCAGCCTTGTGCTGTGCGGACTTGGGGGCTGCCGGGAGGGGTCACCCTGTGCTGCCTCCGGGGCTTTGGCTTCCAGGGTGGGGTCTCCTGCTGGAGCTGCTTGTGCTCCCCCAGTCTTGTGACAGGAGGGGAACGTGTCCCCTGGGGGCTCCTGAACTCCCCCCACGCCAAACCCACAGAGAGCTGCCCCCACCGCCCCCACCCCGGCGTCAGGTGGCGGGATCACCTCTACCTGAATCAGCCTGTCCTCCCACGTCTTCTGCTTCCAGGTAAACTCGGTGTGTTCTGCAGAGAGAAGGGCCACCCCTGCTCCTCTCTCCTGAGGCTCCTCCATGCCGCCTCCTAAATGCAGCATCTGGGGTCCTCCGTGGACGGGCTCGCCACAGCCCCACGTCCCTCCCCACCCTCCCAAGGAGCAGAGTGGGCTGTGCCGGCCACCTGGAGCCGGGGCGCCTTTGCTCAGGCCACCTGACTGGTTCTCGGCATGTACAGTGATGAGGTGGCCACACACCCCGGGCTCCTTTGCTCAGACCAGGTGGTGAGTACCCGGCATGTACACTAGGGGTGTGTGGGGAGATCACACATGCACTCGGGCTCCTTTGCTCAGCCATAGGTCTAGCACCCGGTGGGTACACTTAGGGGCTGGTTCACACACACACCGGGGGCATCTTACCTTCCAGGTACTTGACCAGCAGCGGGATCTCAAGCTCCTACATGTTGGCCATGGAGAGGGCGATGCTCTGGCTCAGGGTCTTCAGAAGGTGGAGCATGGCGATTCCGCAGCCCTCCCCATTGGAGGGGGATGACATAAGTACCTCAGGAACACCGAGACTCCAGTGGGGCCCCTCGCTGGCTGGGCAGCCCCAGGCCCCGCACGCCTCAACCTGGGGCCTCACTGTCCGAGCCCATAAAGGGAGAGGTGGACAGGATGGGGCCTTTCAAGCAGAGCTCCGAGGATTCCCAGGATCAGAGCATCCCTGCAGAGGATGCTGAAGGCAGGAAAGGAGACAGGAGAGCATGGGCTCCCCCCCCCCCACCCCGGGTTCCTTGGAGCTCGGAGCAGGGTCAACACAAGGAGGAGGATGCATGGTGCAGGGCGGAGCTGAGCCCTAGGGAAGGGCAGCCTGCTGACAGAGTCCTGCGGATGCTTGGGGCCATTCAAAGGCCCAGCAGAGAAATCTGGGAGCCTGCTGCCCTTGCCAGATCTCCCCAGAGGGATGTCGGGGGCCTGGAAAGCTCTGTCCTGCCAAACATCCAGCTCCCTGCTCCCCCTGGAGGCCCCGGGGATTAGGAGCTCATGGGAGGGGCACCTCAGGACACAGTGGGGGCCAGGCCAGTGCATGGCACCGTGAGCCACTCACCAGGAGTTGGGCCAGCAGAATCTGTGGCACGGGTAGATCCACTGGGGAAAGAAAGATACAGGACGCTGAGGCTGCCCCGCTCCCATACCCCGGGGGAGATTCCCCTGTAAGGTGTTGCCCCAACAGCTTCTTCCCGGATGCTCAGAGCAGGCTCTGCCCCTACCATCACTGGGTCCTGTAGGCTCGCAGTCACCTTCTGTCACTGGCCACATCCATCCTCAAGCCCCACGACCATGGCAGCGGCCCCCTGGGACAGCAGGGTCCCTGTAAGTAGGTCGGTCTAGTCCCTTTCTTGAGGGTCTGGATTAACAAGGGCGTCATCAAGGTGAGTCGGAGGGCCTGGTGGGGGTGGTTCCAGAGGCCTCAGATAGGATATACAGTCCTTCCAGTGGGTTCACGGGGGCCAGAGAGCTCACACCTGCGGGAAGCCTGAGCCAGGACCCCTGCCCTGGGGTCTGGGCCAGGGTGGGTGGGAGGTGGGGATGAGAGGAGTGGGCTGCCAGAGGAAGTGTGCATGGCTTTAACCTCCTCGGATTTTGGCAAGGGCGGCCTCTTTGGCAAGGCCTGGCTCTCTGAGCTCCAGGCTGCTTCCTGGGGAAGGGGGAACGGTCCGAGGCATGGGGCGGCCCACCTGCCCAGTCCCTCCAGCTGGCGCAGGGGGGCTGCCCACCGTGCCTGCTCTTGCATTTGCTGGCCTCCTTGTCCTTGGCGTGCAGCTGGCGCTCGGCCAGGTTGGTGAGGCTGCCGCAGATGGGGGTCAAGGCCTCCGTGTAGTCTGTCTCCATGATGCAGCACGGGACCCTCACCCAAAATTCCTGTGGGGGCGATGGGTGTGAGGTGGGGGTGCTGGGGTCAGCCAGCCTGGGCATCGCAGTCCTGCGATGAGATGGTCGGTCCCTCCCCACCCCGACAGCCTTGTCTCAGCCTCGCTTCTCCAGAACCGCACTCTGACCCATGACTGACCGCCTCAGGCCCGCCAGCTCTGCTGTCCAGCCTGGGTCTTAGCCAAGGCCGTCTAAGCTGCTCCCACCCCATGGCCGAGGGGGTCAGCTAGTCCTGGGCCCTTGACCTCTGTGGCCCCTGCCTCACTCCAACCCCGCAGCCAGCACATCCTCTTTGACCAGCCCTCCCTCTAACCCCCAATCCCCTAGAGAGGCACACTGGGCAGACAACCTAGCCATGCTTGCCAACTGTGATGATTAGTTTCTATGTGTCAGCTTGGCTAGTGAATGCACACAGTTATTCAATCAACCACTAATCTAGGCATGGCAGTGAAGCTATCTTGATGCAATCTGATGAAAGTCCATAAACCATATAAGAGGTTACTCTGGAAAATGTGAGTGGACTTGATCAGATCAGTTGAGGGCAAAAAACAGGTTTCCCTGAGGAAGAAGAGAGTTTGCCTCCAGGTTGCAGCCTCAGCTACTGCCTGTTTTCAGCCTGCTGGCCTACCTCCTAAATTTCAGACTTGCCAGCTCACAATTGCACAATACATATGTTGTTGTTCACTTCCTCAGTCATGTCCGACTCTTTGCGATCCCATGGACTGCAGCATGCCAGGCCTTCCTGTCCTTCACCATCTCCCGGAGTTTGCTCAAACTCATGCCTATAGAGTCGGTGATGCCATCCAATCATGTCATCCCATGCTGTCCCCTTCTCCTCCTGCCTTCAATCTTTCCAGCACCAGGGTCTTTTCCAATGAGTCAGGTCTTCCCATCAGGTGGCCAAAGTATTGGCGCTTCAGCTTCAGCATCAGTCCTTCGGATGATTATTGAGAAATCTGATGATTTCCTTTTGTATTGACTGGTTTGAGCTTCTTGCTGTCCAAGGCACTCTCAAGAGTCTTCTCCAAAACTACAATTCTAAAGCATCAGTTCTTTGGCACTCAGACTTTTTTATGGTCCAACTATCTCTTCTGTACTTGACTCTTGGAAAAACCATAGCTTTCACTATACAGAACTTTGTCTGCAATGTAATGTCTCAGCTTTTTAATATGCTGTCTAGGTCTGTCATAGCTTTTCTTCCAAAGAGCAAGAATCTTTTAATTGCATGGCTGCAGTCACCATCTGTAAAGATTTTGGAGCCCAAGAAAATAAAGTCTGTCACTGTGTCCATTGTTTCCCCATCTACTTGCTGTGAAGTGATGGGACTGGATGCCATGATCTTCATTGTCTAAATGTTCAGTTTTAAGTCAGCCTTTTCACTCTCTTCTGGCACCTTCATCAAGAGGCTCTTTAGCTCCTCTTTGATTTCTGCCATAAGGGTGGTGTCATCTGCATATCTGAGGTTATTGATATTTTTGAGATACACACAGAGACACCCACACACACACACAGACACACACACACATCTCCTACTGGTTCTATTTCTGTACAGGTTCTCCGAGCCATGACTCTAGCCTTTCAACGTCCCCCTGCCATCTCCCGTCTCGCCAGGTGATCACTGAACGCCCCCAGCGACCCAGACTCCTCTTAGCCCCCCTCCCACCCGGAGGAGTCTGGGGGGAGCTCCGGTGCTACTGACAGGGAGTGTGCTTGGTGTGCTGCAGCCATCGGGACCAGAATCCCTGGCTGCTGGGTTCCCCCAGGGATGTAGCAGAATGAACAGGAAAGACCATTTTATCCTGGCTCCACTTTTAACCAGCTTAGAATCCTTGAGGAAATTAATGAGTCCCTTTGAGCCTCAGTTTCCTCATTTATAAAAGCTAGGTAATAATAACAACAGACCTTACCTCACAGGGTGGTTGGGATAATTAAATAAGATTCTAGATACTACACATCTAGTACAGTGCCTGCCACGTGTACTCAATGAATTGTAACCACTATTATTATTTTTACTATAACTATTGTTTTTGTAATTAAGAGAAGCTGCCACTGGATGGGGAGCATCTGGCCCATGGCCTCAATTAACAGACAATGGTTCCCTCCATGTGCAGTCATGGTAAACTTTCCCTATCTTACTGCTATGTCACATTGTAATACAATTAAAAACTGACGCATTTGTTCCCCTAAAGCCTGTGAGCAGCTTGGGGTCACACTGAGCGTTCCTGTGTATGCCCGGATGCCTCACACAGAGTTGGAACTCGTGAGTGTTTGTGAAATATAACCCCTAGAGTCACTTATTTGCACATGCACACATGTACACACATGTATGCATATGCATGGGCTCCCTG